TCTTTTTCTTTCACTTCCCTACGAGAAGATGTCATCAGATTGGCGATATCCTATTGTAGGGCGGTGGTCGGACGAGCTCCTGTCTAGGGTATTATCTTAATTGATCGTACCTCTGTGGTGCGGCAGGTCACCTGTAGGTGCGTGTAGGTAATCAGTTAGGTTATTCGAGGTAATCGCAGGATGTCAGAGTTATAGTTTTATTGTTAACAGCTTTCACAAGAAGGGCTTTAATAAACAGAACTCACTGGTGTGACTTTGCCTAAGTGAAAAAAAAAAAAAAAAAAAAAAAAAAAATCTCTATATAGTGAAGAAAATTCTTCAGCCTAACAACTTCACTATAACGAGAGTGACTTGTAGATACAAACTTAATAGAATATAGTTTTCTAAATATATTCTGTAAATTTAAATTTTATTACTAATAGAATTTAAACTCTTGTTTGCTATTTGGGATATAACAACTTACTAACTTTACTAAGTCATCATATCTTTTCTAATAGTATTTATAAAATTTTTATAAAATATCTAATAGTATAATTTAATATTTATTTTGCTATTAATCTTGCAATAACTATTAATACTATATAATATAAAGTATTTTTAGATTATAACTAAAAATGTGAGTGCAATACCATAATTAGTATATTTGTTTTTATAAAAACTCAATTATATTGTAACCTAGTAATTTGAATTAAATGATTTTGATACTACTATATTTGGTTCATTTTGAAGAGATATATCAAATGACATTAAAATAATTTAATTTGGATTACTAGATCACAAGATATTTAAAAAAATTAATTTAAAGGTAGAGGATACCGTAGATCATTTTTCATATAATATGCATGGCAAATTAATACCTTATATAGATATAAGAATATACCACTAATAAAAATTTTTGAAAATTCAATTAATTTTTATTAAAATTTTATAATTTTATAGATTAAAACTTGCTCTTTCTAATAGTATAAATTTTAATAACCAAATTATTTTAATAAAACATACTTGTATATATTATTAAGTTGCTGCAGTGACCTCAAATTTGCTGAAGTTACACAAAATTGTTAATTTTGATTGGTTATATCATATGATCATCATATAATTTTTATAAACAAAAAATCAATACTCTATCTTTAAATACATATTTCTTAGTAAATATCTAACCAATTTTAATAATATTACTACCATTAGAATCAGAAGAATCTATTTTACAAATTTTGTTATAAATTTTAAAATAACTTACTTAATAAAATTTTTTTTAATTATAAAAGAAAAAATTTTTGCCATTATGATCATATGAAAATTGATTTATGTATCCTCTACCCTTAATAAATTATAATATATGACAAATAATATAATTTATTAAATCATTTTTTGCAAATATTTTGAGATCTAGTAGCCTGAATTAAATTATTTTAATATTATTTAATTCATCTTATCAAGATAAATTAAATAATATTAAAATCATTTAATTTAAATTATTAAGTTACAATATAATTAAATTTTTGTAAAAACAAATATACTAATTATAGCATTATACTCACATCTCTAATCATAACTAATTTATTTCTAAATATAATTATAAATTTAATATAAAAATCAAAATACTTCTAGTAATATTGCTTATATTTGACTTAAAAATCTTAAATTTTAATATATCAGATAAAATTATCTTAAGCCAGTTTTTATAAAACTAATTTTTATATTTTTTGCAAATTTAAATTGTCATTTTCAATAATTTTTACTTAGAGTTTTTTTTTTTTAACCTTTAATACTAGATTATAGTTTTTAAATATACAGTATAATGAATAATAGATGCTGAAATCTTAATACTCTCTTGTTTTTTAAAGTATAAACAACTTCAATAACATTTAAATACTTGCAGAAAGTAATTCTATTCATAATTTTCTTTTGAGTTGGTTTGCCCACTATAAGTAGACAATCAACTCTTGCTAAATCTTCAAGTATATAGGTTTTTAACCACTTTTTATTAATATGAAATGTTATAAAAAAACCAATATTAAAGGCCTAACCTATTATTGTGAAATATCCTTGCAGCACAAGTAGAATTTGTCTCTTTCAGCTAAGATTTTTTGTTTCTTTTTTTCATAACTTTGTTTTCAAAAGTTTCAACATTGTACAAATATACACCATCTGATCATTATCAAAAACATGCAAAAGTCATGCAACATGTGTTTCATGTTATATGCTTGATTATCTTTGCATCGGCAATAAGAAAATTTATTTAAATTTGAATATTAAATAAAGATACCATTTACAAATTAAAAAAAAATAAGATACGTTTAGAATTGCACGAAATAATGCAATATAACCATTTTTTTTTTCTGCTCCATTACTTTTGATTGCCACTGTATGTAAATATAGATTTTAACTGAGATAATCAACGTTCCCCAAGTTATGATGCGTCATTTTAATAAATTCCTATGTCCAATGAGATGCATCGGGTGTGGGAAGGTGGGTTTAGATGCATTATCGGTACAGATCAGGGGTACAAAAAAAATTTTCGGGGTTTACTATTGATTGATTAAAATATAATTTGGTAACTAAAATTTAGGATTAGGAGACCAATTGTTTGCAAATGCGCCGTAATGAGGTTATCGGTTTTGACAGGATCGGTTTTGGAGGGTGTACTGTATTAACAAATAATAAAATATTAACAAGACCAATAGTGCCATTTAATAATCAAAGAAACATGTTTCTGGAAAGTCAGAAATCCAAAAAGAAACTACTTAGGCGGGCTACACTTGAACGATATGTTGGGTAAGTATTTATTAGTTTATAGATAGCAAAATATAAAGGCAGAACTCCCCCCCAAAAAACAGCCATGTGCCCTTAATCATAGATAGTCATCTATATACAATACAAACGCCTGATGGTAGACAATAAATTTCAGGGAAAGTAGGAATTGTAGCCGGAGTAGAGGCTATTATCAGGTTAGAGTTAGGTTTAGTTAGCACGTGATAGTTATTTTAAATTCAATTTGGTCATAGGGCCCATACCCGGCTATATTTAAAGACGTCCGTTATTGTTATTGTTATGGAGATATTTCGAATTTTACATGTGACTTAAGACTAATTACGATCAAAGAGCTCGCGCTTACATACATGCATCTAGTTAATATGACAGATCATCTTGTCGGTTATCAATACATGAGTAGATTTAATCCATATATACAGATCCTAAATTGTTCATGCCCAAATTCCAAGCTCTGGAGAATTAAACAAATGATATGTATTCTCAAAATTCTTTGTAAAGAAATATCAGGTTTTTTCTCATTTAATTTTTATAAATAGCAATTGGATTGGGATTTGTTCAGATTTGCCGTTAATTATGGATATAACGGAAATTTGTGCTTAAAAATTCGTTATATAGTTACTTACTATAAATTTAAAATCCGTTTATCCGTTATATTCATAGTTGACTGTATAAACCCACGATAATTGATGGAATACATAATCAAAAAAAAACAAAAGTTCCGGTTTGTTTGCTCAACCTTTGGAGAAAAGACAAAATTAACACAACAAAATACTATCCCTATTTATTTTTATCAGATTATTAACATGCTTATCAATTTAATATAGGCAAATTTTGAATGTAGTGCTATTTATGCCATTTTTTATATCATAATACATATTTTGTTGCATTACTTAATATATTTTATTATTTTGAATGATTTATATTAAATGTGTCACATAGTGACACGTGTGGAGCTAGTTTGAATATTTTAAAGGTCATCGTCTTCCTCTATTAGAAGTTGATAGTATTATGCATTAGCAAAATAAGAAGGCATTTTAACAATAAATAAAATAAGAGTAAACAAACCGGGGAGAGGTTGAGCCGTAGCGATTTCCAAATCCTTGGTATATTGTTCCATCAGATTGTGATCCACTGGAACTTCTGGCGGTGCAAGTGCTGGGGAGGCGACAAACTCAAGATTTGGATTACTATTTATAGAGAAACGTATTATTTTTTTATGATCTTAGATAATATAATAGTCATAGATCGATGCAGCTGAAACTATAACATTGTAAGCCTTACCCAATGAGCTTACGGGCTAACCACAAGAAAGGTTTTTCGAAATTGTAATTGCTTTTTGCTGAAATATCATAATATTGAAGATTCTTCTTGCGGTGGAATGTAATAGTTTTAGCCTTGACTTTACGTTCCTATAGGAGTAAACAATTTAAAGAACTATTATTATACGCAAAAACGTACATTAAACCAAACTTTCTTAATGTCTAAGACAAATATTTGCGTACAATATATAATTAAATACAACAAACCTTTATGTCAACCTTGTTACCACAAAGAACAATTGGAATATTTTCGCATACTCGAACTAAATCACGATGCCAGTTTGGTACATTTTTATATGTAATTCTGGATGTAACGTCGAACATGATGATGGCGCATTGTCCTTGAATGTAGTAACCGTCCCTGAGACCGCCAAATTTTTCCTGACCTGCAGTGTCCCAGGTATTGAAGCAAATAGGACCGAAGTTGGTATGGAATGTCAAAGGATGTACTTCAACACCAAGAGTTGCTAAGGTTAGGAATTAAAAAAAATCAATAGTACGGTCCAGTTGAAACGTCAGGATCAACTTAAATATAAGTGTATATAGCTTTCTAATATGGCATCCAGTTTACTTACCCACGTACTTCTTTTCGAATTCACCTGTCAAGTGACGTTTGACGAAAGTTGTCTTGCCGGTGCCACCATCACCGACTAAATATTATACCGCGTAAAAAATATTGATCAAAGATATCAAATATAAAAAAGCAAACAAATCCTGAGAATACCAACCTAGAACAAGCTTAAAAGTGGGTACTTCTTGAGACATTTGTTAGAATCTTTCTGTTGAAAAGGTGAAACCGCAGCCACAAAATAATAAATATCACGAAGGGATCAGTTAAGCTACCGTTTTGGCAAGTAAACTCAACGCGTTTTTTTCGTAAAACAAAAAAAAAAAAAAAAAGCAGAAAACAGGACAAACAAAAATGTAAAGGGATGGATGGATAAACACTTACCGTCGGTATGGATTTTTCTAGGAATAATAGTCAGGGATAATAGTCGGATGGCTATTTCTACTCATATCAAAAGTGATCGTTTTGCATGCAACACAAAGTGACGTTAACAGCCTAACTGATTTGGAATGAGTAAATGATTTGTTAATCCATCTTTGACTAAGGAGGTAGTGCAGTTGTATTGTTTTGCGCATCATAGTGGCGCAATATTATTAATAGTAGATTACAACGATTACAACACAATTATCAGTTATAATAATTTGCCTGCTTCAGTTTATTGAAAACTTTTTAATAAAAATTTCTTGTTTTATATGTATATATATATAATTTTAAAAAAAGCCTGCCAGTCTATTTAAAAGTCTTATAAATTTATATATATAGTTTATACTGTACTATATAGTGGTTATTACTATATAGCATTGTTTATAGTACCCAAGGTCTTATTCAAAACCTTGATTTTTAAAATTGTACAGAACCAGGTATATATTATATTTTGAAGTATGTTTATATATACAGTTTTTTCAAAATAGACTGGTATAATTGTGAATAATACTTGGGTTTTAATTGTAAAGGTATTATTTTATAAAAATATTATTCTTTAAATTGTAAATTAACACAAACAAATTTGTTTGTATTGGTACTATAAATATGCTACTAATTTATTTTTTTTTTTAATTTTAAAAGGTGAGGTCATGATGCTACTAATTTATGTTTGTAATAATTTAGAATATTTAAATAAAATTTGGTATAATAATATTGAAATTAAATAGATTATAATTTTAAAAAGATTAATATACTGTATATACTTTTTTTTTTTTTTTTTTTTCTACTTAGGCCATTTTGCCTTTAGTCTCTTTTATTACTTTACGATTGTATGGTATTATAAAAGGCCTTAGCATAATATTTAGGAGTGGTATCCCGCAGTTACTTTGAGAGCACTTACAAGTGATCGGCTGTACTGAGCAGATACATCCTTATAAATATATCATGATAAGTTTCAAAATAGAAACACTATCTCTCTCAGACGAACACTATCAGACTACCGCCCTACAATAGGATATCGCCAATCTGATGACATTTTCTCATAGGAAAGTGGAAAGAAAAAAAAAAATTTTTACTAACACTAACACTAATACTAAAAAGGTGATACTAAAAAAAAGGAAACTAAAACTAAAAAACAAATACAAACATGAAAGGGGGAAGAAAAAGAAAAAAAAAACTGATAGGTCACAGTTATAGGCCTGTGTTAAGCCTTAAAAATTACATATTAATAGGTAAAGAAGCTCTATATCTAACTCTATCCTAATAATATATATATAGTAAAAAAAAAAAAACATAAAAAAAAAGACAGCTAAATAAAACAGAGTAGCCCAATATATTGTAATATTAATGAATTTTTATTAATATTTTTCTTATAATTTTCCTTAAATTTTATTATATATTTTATATTTTTATTATATATTTTATCATTTTATTAGTTTATTTACATAGTTTA